AACTCGATATCTGAGAGGAAAACCAATTGCTGTTTGAGTGAATAAAATTATATTGAAGATTGCAGAAGGCTTTTGCTTGATGATTGATAACATCATGATTTCAAAGTTTGCATTTGCTGTTTGATTCAAAGAGGATCTGTACTTGAATGACTTTTTGAGGCACTCCAAAACTTAAAAAGGCAGACTCTGACTTTATTTAGCATGAGTGCAGTCATTTGCATGTCATAAATCCCCAAGCATCTCATAAGCTGGCCTTTCTGCTCTAACTTCCCTCTCCATCTCTTCCCCTGTTTCCTCCTGCTCTCACTTTCGGGACTGAAGCTATTTTTCCTTCAACTTCTACCTGTTACCCCCCACCACCACCACCACCACCACCAAATCACTATTATTTCCCATTGCTGAGTCTGCTGGCTTTCACCCCACCCTGTTTACTTCTGAAGAGTCTCCAAATGTCTGCATCATGACTTTGCCTCTCTCTTATCTCTTTCTGTCAGGCTTTTGTTTTTGATCATCGCTCCTCTGTTTCCACTCTACTTCTCCTCCTTTCAACCTCACCCCCTTCTCCTCATTTCTTTAGATTTGTGTGTGTGTGTGTGTACGTGTATGTGTACCTGTGTATGTGCATTTTTGATGCCTCATACAGATTGTGTCTTTGTGGGCATCTCTGCACATGGGTGAGTGAGTTTGTATGTGTGTGTGTTTATGGATAAGTCTAGCCTACTGTAGGTGTCTGTTTTAATAATAAAAAAAAGCGTTTGTTTCTTTTTCTGATGATATATAATAAAAGAACTCATCTGTTGTTCAGACATGATTATTGGTAAAATTGCCACCCTGATGCATGGGCGCTATCGTCAGGGTTGCAGGTTCGTGGTTTATTAATGGATGGATGGCACATTATGAACTTCAGGTGTAAAGCGTACTCGCTATGATTGAAAATCTTCACTAGTGGGACACATCATGTTTCTATTATTCACTGTGAAGGTCTGATCTCACACAAGTAGTGCCACGTAGATGAATCTCTGACAAAAGCATCATTGAGCTCATCTGTTGTTAGTGAGTGAAGCTTTGTTTTCTCTCTCAGACAGAGACACTCAACTCTATCACAGGATGGACGTTTCTGAAAAACGTTGGTGGAATTATGGTTTTAAATGTTCAATGCCAACATATTATTATTATAATTATTCATTCCTATGGCAACTACACCATGGTTAAAGTGTGGTCAAGGTTATGCAACTAAAACACTTGGATATAATTTGGAAAAATCTCTTATTACAGTGGTAGAAGAGGTGTTGAGATCTTAAAGTAAAATTCAAATCAAAATATACCTAAAGTACCAAAAGTAAAAGTATTCGTTATACAGAATGTCCTATTTCAGACAAATGTATTACTGCATTATAAGTACTGATGCATCTGTATGTTAGGATCATTTTACTGTTGTAGTTGGTAAAGATGAGACTACATTATATACTGCTGGGTAACTTGTAATGTAACTGTACATTATCATTTATAAGTTGATTATATTTTGTGTTGATACTCTAAATCTATAATTAGTAAGTACAGCTGTCAGTGGAGTAAAAAGAACAATATTTCCCTATAGTGAAGTAGAACTGTAAAGTAGCGTAACATGGAAACACTCATGTAAAGTACAAGTACGTCTAAACTGGACTTCAGTTCAGTGCTTGAGCAAATGTACTTAGTTACATCCCATACTGCCTAATTGCAAAGTTAATTCTATAAGACAGGAAGAGAATTCCAGTCTTAAATTCAATGTGTTAATCGGCCTGAATGTTGGCACTGGAAGTAATCGCACAGTTGACTCATCGCCTGTGTTGCTGTGCATCACTTGAGAGATAGGAGCAGCCAATAGCATATTTTGAGGGAAATATTCCAAATTACCAAAACACACAGGTACTCACCTTTCGGGTGAAAAAAAAACCAATTGTTGGCTGTGACTCTTCAGACTAATAAGTTTCTCACTAAGGTCTACTCTGAGCCAGGCACTGAATATAAATAGACCACTATTTACACTCTCCTATCACCTGGAACTCAGAGGACTGTTTAGTGACTCATTGTTGTCTCAAAGTTGAGACTAACAAATCAAGGTGCCAGTCAGGTCTCTTTCTTTGCAAGAAAGCCAAACCAATTGTTATCTACAGCCAGACCTACAGGTTGACTTGAGAAGAGTTTGAAGTTGTCTCAGTACATGTGTAAGATCTAAATCTCCTGAATTTTAGTGCCTCTGCTTTATTTCTAGTAGATGCTGAGGTTTCTTAGTAAACTTCAGCATCACTTGGACGGCTCCCATAGTGTCAGCAAAGCTGGCTCTACACCAAACATAACAAATCAAATGTAGTAGACAGAAGTTTTACAATTACCTTTGAACCCACAGATGATTGACAGTCGGCTATCAGCACAGAGGAGGGCGATGGGGAACCTTCCCGGAGACCGAGGCCAGCAGAAGACGAGCACCTACATCGTGCCCTGCTTCCTCTTTGTGGAGGTAAGTGTTTGGACATATATTGTTCAATAAGGAGCAATATACAGCACCAAGGACTTGACTCACATCTGAGAATTTTGAGCCTGATCTGACCTGAACATTGAAAGTATTTTCAAAGTGTTTTTTTTTTTTTTTTTTTTGACCTGAAGGCAATATTTGTTATATTTGGCTCAACTTTACCCGGCTCTTGGGAAAAAAATCTCAGGCTTTCATGCGCTGATAATGTGGACTAAGTTGAGTGGCATTTGCTGTATAAATGCTGCATGGTTTTGTATGAAAGTGTTCAGAAATGGAGAGCTAGCAGTGTACTCTGTGGGTGTCGGAAGCTTGAGAAACCTCTGGGAAGCTGGAGTCACGCTGAGCAAACGGATGGACAAATGCAAGCACATTTAACAGTGGTCTGCCTGTGAATGTTCTCCCACAGCTTTTCTTCCATTTCTCCCACATCTCTTTCGTCCATCATTTCCCATGTTTCTCACCGCAGATTAACAACAATGGGTGTCAGTTGGGAAACTGCATCAATTAGCAGGCTCTGTTTTCAATTCACTGACTCCCAAAAGAAGCGATTGATTTGATTAAATTGTCACAATTGGGTAATTACCTCCAGTCCATGACTCACTTAGTGATAACATTCAGCAGGAGGGTGAGGGGAACTATTGCTAAGGTATTCTAGCAACAAGGGGCCTCTCTGATGAACTTTTTGCTCATAACCTCCTGAATTTCTCTCCTCTCTCTTCTACTCTTCCCACGACTCTTCTCCTCCCTGTAATCCCTACATGACCTGGTGGAGCGCTCATGGCTTCAGCTTCATTTCATAATTAATTGGCCTAATTAAGAACGGAAACCCAATTAGCCCGTGCCACCGCTAACACGCTCCAAGCCTGCAGGTCATCAGAGCTACAGCAACGATAGCTGAATGAGCTGAACGAGTTGGTTTTGAATTCAGCCTTTAAATGTGATGTTGCTTTCGTATATGTTTAAGGTTGGTGGCTTGTTGAGTCAAATGGTGGCATAGAAAGTTGACTGGATAAGTCAGAAGTTCAGGTTTTGCAATAGTAGATATAGCCAACAGGCAAACAAGAGAACTGAGGATAGATATTGACTTTTTTTTTTTTCTGTTCCACCTGCTGAGACAAACTTAGGTAAACGCAAATCTTGTGAAAGGTTGGTCTCATTCAAAAAAATTCTTGGGCAAAGTGTTTTCAGCAAACTACATGTTTCTTCAGCACGCCTGCATTAGCACCCAACCCCTTCCACTGAATTTCCTCAAGGATTTTCTCCAACCTTGTTCTTCTTCTCCTTCTTTGTTCTCATTCACACATTCACAACATCCTCTTGAGATCATACAATAGCCTTTTCATCCTCGATTTGTGCCACATCCAACACGTGAATCCTACACTCTTTCCACACAACAATACTCTTCAACACACCTCTATTACCGCTGCATCTCTTTATAGCACAAATATCCCACAATCCCTGCAGGTTTACGCACGGTCTTAAGCTTGCTTTTATTTCCTTTCATTGTGCTTCGGTATTGGCTCATTCTCAGCATCCTCTTGAGGACTTGTTATAATGATTTTCCAGCTTTCTAATTTTTTTCATAGTACGTCTATAATATCTCTAGGCTTATATCTGTCAGTGGTGCTCCTCCCCTCTTCCAGTATTCTCTTTGACGATCTCTTGAGTACTGCCCAGTTACTCTCTTCATGCAGATCCTCCACATCACTCCTCTCCAGCACTTATTCCCTTGAGTAATTACATCTTTTGCGCCATGGATCTCTCCATTATTCCCCTTTACTTCTAAAGCTTTATCTCTCCCTCCCACTCAAAAGTCTGTCTGCTATTGCAAGGACCTCCATTCTCCTCATTTCTCCTCAATACTTCTCCCCATCTTCATGTTTCCTCATGTGTCTGCAACATTTCTTCTCCTGTCTTTTTGTTACTCCTCGTTTCCATTCACCCCCTCCACCCTTTTGTTTCTTCTCCAGGGAAGTAGACCTTGTCCTTAGAAGACCTTGCTCACCTCATATCACAGACTGGAAGGTAGCATGAACATCCTCTGGCCTTGGGAAGGCGTTTCTTCCCGTTTTGTCACCTCAATCAACTCTTCCTCCAGGTGCTGTGCCTGTTGTTTTTATTTGCTCAAACACAATCAGAGGTGGGATGATGAGAATCTGGTTTGACTTTAATCACTATATATGCACCTGAATGAATCTGTGTGCTTTGCAGTAGTTTAATAAAGGGCATTTTTAATTCCACCCCCCCTCTGCTATGTTCATACCGAGACAGCTTGCTGTAGCATAGCTCCCCCCGGAGGGCACTCACTCCTTTGTTGTTACATTAGCATCTCATTACCCATTTCTTTTCAATTGAAACGCCCAGTCTTATTCCTCTTCCTCTCTTGTGATCTTGTTTCCGATTCCCTCTCTCTTTCCCTCTTTTTTCCTCACAATCTAAATCTCTGTCTCTCACTGTCTGTTGCTCTCTCTCTGCTTCCTCTTCCTTTATCTGTATGACAATGGCCCTCTCCCTCTGTCCCGCTGTCAGTTCACTGCTCCTCTTTATGTCAAGACTTTTCTACCATCTCTAACTTTGATTACTGTATCCGTCTTTCCCTCTGTTCGCACTTTCTATGTTTTCTTCCCTCTTGTCTATTGTAGTCAGCGTTTTCTTCTTATGCCAGATTAAATGTGAAAATGATTTCATACATTTTTACTTTTAGCAGCGCGGGATGAAACCAACATAATGGAAAGCAGATAAGTCTTTCTTTCTCTCCTCTCTTTAACTCTGCATCTTTCACTCCCCTCTCTCTTGTTTTCACTCCCTGCTGCTGTTGCTGCCGTCATGCTGTGAAGCCACACAAGAGACTAGTCTGGGGCCTAACAGAGGCACTGCTTCAAAGGCCCCTCTTTAAAAAGTCATTTTGATACAACTGATTCCTGACTCGCTTTAGACACTGGTTGGTGGGAGGAGGGCTGTGAGTTGGTGTGATCTAGGCCAGGCGGGCCTACTGTGAAAATCTGTACTGAAGCCGAGTTACAAAATACTCAGAGTGACTAAAAGTGGACTCCTTGAGTGGATCTCACTGAGTGTACAACTTGCATTAATAGTAGTGTGGGCTCAACACTACCAATGGTAAGATGTGATAATAATTACAGTTAACTCTTGGTGGATGTACTGTAGCTGCCAATTCGTGGCACCCAGCCTTTGCAGTGTGTATCCAGGCTCTCCAGCTTTGCTGTTCAGCCACGACTGCCAGCTCAGAGCAGCTTCCTCTTCTCCGTTCCTTCCTCATGCCTCGTTGGCTGCATCCTCCTGTGGCATAGCGAGTTCTGTAAAGTAAACAGACTGCTGAGCATCAGACCACGTAATATTTCAGGTCTATGGCCTGTGCTGTCTCTGATGATACTCTAAGGTGTTGGTTCGTGTCTGCTTGCATCTCTCATTTCCTAGCTTCCCTGTAGATGCCCCAGTTTGTGCCTGCACAGTAATTTCTGCCTAATCAGTAATATTTCTCTTTTGAATTTTTTTGAATCATGTAAAAACTGTGAGGTTTCTCTCTAATTTGCAACAGCAAATAAGTTTTAGATGAAATTTAATTCTGCCCCAACTACATTTTCTATCAACATACTGACTAGACACTATCGTCATCTGGCAAGTCCCAAAATGTTAATATTGAATGTGTCTTCAAAACATTCACTAATACATTTGTTTTAACTGCAAAATCCATTCTTGCAAAACAGCATTTGCATGTAGCATCTAAAACAAGATTAAACTGTTTTATGGTTATGTTTAGGCAGTTGATTAAAGGGGAACTCCAATAAATTTTACACAAAATTGTCAAGTCACTTGAGTCAGCGTCGATTATAGCTGAAGATGAAAAAGACAAACCTCTTCAGACCACACCACAGCTTCTCTTGAGGCTAGCAGCTCGAGACTACACAAGGCACAAGGGTCAGTTTTGGTCCTTTTTTTGTGGCTGGTCCAGCCCTATAAACACAAATGTCGCTGACTGACCGAGTGATCAAGTTACACCACTGGTCAGCCAAATTCTGTGAGTCTGATTGATAAGGTTACACCACTAGTTGGCCGGCCAAGCGTTTGAGTTTCCCCATTCGTCGTTGCTCTTTCAAAATGATTTGGCACAAACAAGCAGTGTTGACAACTTAGCATCTTTGTTGCTAGATTTACTGACTTTTCATCAGTATCATGGATCATTTTACAAGTAAATACAGTTGAAATCACATCACAGCTGTTGTCTTTAACTGATGTGTTGGTGATTTTGTCAGACGATGTAGCAGTTATACAATCAGAATTTCAGCAGTGCAGAGCAGCAGCTTGGAAATTGCATTCAAGTGACTGCTGGTTAACATTTCAGTCACTATTTCTTCTTTCTGACAACAGAAAGCGGAAAAACATGTAAATGAGGACAGGTTCACTGCGAACCCCAGTCTCCAGTGTCAAAATCCCACACTTTCCCACATAGTTTTTCATCCGGAAAATCGTTGCCACTGAACATATTCCAACAAGGCAATTACATTTCCAACACCACGTACTTGGCAAAATGATTATATAAACTTAAAAGGCGGGGTTGCTCCTAATGGTTACAGACCAAACTTCTGTTTTGTTTCATCTGTCTTTTTGCTGATCGTAGTGCTTTTCAGTGCTTCATTTGGCTGCCAAGTGCATTGACTTCAGGAAACAATTACCTTGCTTGTTGACAGGATATGTGTTTATGTGTGTGTGCGGACGGCCTCTGGCATCTTTCACCAGTTTTGGTTTTGGTGTGAAAACAGCACAGCAGCATAGGTTGCTCCAATAATGAATAGCATCCTAAATGCATCAGGCCCACAGTTGCCTACAACAAAACGTCTTCCTCTCAGCATGTTCTTACTTGATCCATACTCCCTGCTGGGTTTGACACTGTCTGAGTACATCTTCTACCTCCAGGCAACACATTCCTTGCATGTGTTTACTCTTTTCTGCAGATCTTTTGTTCCAAA